ACTATAATTTTTACTTATATTTGATTGTTATTTATTTTGTGTGTTTATTTTAAAATATTTGTTTGTTTTTTTTTGTATGTTTTTTGAACTTCTCTTTTTAAGATTTTTTTTCATTTATTTTTAATTATAGAAAATATTTATTTTCTAATTCAAAAGGATATTATTTATTTATTTCTTATTACTATAATTTAGGGAGATTTTAATAATTTATTCGATTATTTAATTTTGCGGGTATTCACTTTGTTTATATTTATTTTGTTTTATTCTTATTTTTTTTTGTGGAGCTATTGATTTATTTTATATATTTAATTAGTTTTTAATAATTATCTCTTAAGAATATCTGCAAATATAAAAACATTAAGAAAATATATGCTTTAACTTATTCTATTTACGTGATTTTTCGCACTGTGATAAGTGATATCTGGGTGATACTCATCATCATGGCCATACTCTACAAAAGTTTTATAAGCCGTTTCGCGCACGTGTTGTAAGGGTTGGGAAAAAACCGCGATATTAGAACGTGGACGTGCACCATCCTCTCTATCTAACCAAGAATTCGCTAATATTTGAGATTTCGGTCTCGTATATGACACTTCCCACTGTGACATCTGGCGTGGATCTTAAGACGTTTTATTGCCAGCAAGAAACGTTTGCAATATTGTCACGTAATAAAGGGACACCGCGAGGGAAACACCTGCAGGACACGAGTAATCGAATTTCCATTCTGTCCGTTATTCGATCATTCCGCCGTCTAAAATGGTTATAGATCGTTTTATAAGAATAGCACACTGTACGAAATGAAAAATTATTATCCATTATCCATAATTTCAAAATTTCCTTGGAATATCGTGTTTGATTTGTGATGTTGAAAATTAGAAAGGATATTGAAAGGAAGGATAGGAATAGATTAAAACAAAATGAATTTTGTGTTAAAAATTTATATTTTACTAAAATTATAATATATAAACATACAATAGTTAAGTTAATTAATTTTTTACAAAATAAATTTACAATAATATTACAATTTTTATTATCTAATATAATAAAAATGTGTAATATCTAAATTTTAGATATTGCAAAAAAAATGCACAGATATGTTTATCTATGATAAAATTAATATATATCATATTATATATATATATATATATATAAAATATATTATATGCATTATTTTATTCATATCTAGTTTACATACGCTTAAAATAACTACTCGTCATTTACTATTATTCTTACACTCTCAATAAATTAAAACTACTTATCACAAAGAATTGTCATCCTCTTCATCTTTTATTCACAGTTTCGGAAAGGGGATAAAAAGACGAGGATCTTCGTGCGAGCAGGAAGACTGGAAAGAGGAAGCGGGATAAAAAAAAATAGGAAAGAACGAAAAAGAAGATGCAGAGGGAGAGGGGTAGAAATGGTTGGCAGCCGATCCGTCTCCGGCACCGTCTGATTGTTCCCTTAACGATCGGCTGACAGCGAAGACGTATGTCGGTGCCATCAGATAATGCGAGCGGCGTTGATGTGTACGCGGTGCCCGTGGTACGCGTAAACGTTTTGTAAACGCTTCGCACGTCTTCGTGGCGGCGTTTGTTCGACGACATCTTCATAACGTCCTGGACAAAGAGACTGTCATGTCGCGTCATGCCTCGCGAGCACAGAGCGGGTCTCCAGAAATCGTGGCGCCTACACCATGATCTTTTTTCCAACTTTTATCTGATCGAGAAGAAGTAGCGCGCGATATATTCGTCCCTTGAATTCCAGCCTCGATACCACGAAACTGTAATGAAAGTTTAATAAAGAAACGTACTTTTAACATTACTCGTGTTCTAATTGTTTTCCTACTTACTCCTTTCCATTTCGTTCCCTCGAGTTCGGCTTTCTTTCGACTTTGACTGCCTCGTATCTTAACCGTGAAAGACCTGCAATTATTATTGAAGCTGTTAGTGATTCGTAATGTTAATTATATCTCAATGCTTACAATGTTAAATGTCTATATTCATTAAATCTCACCTTCGAGATTGGAAACGCGATGGACGATTATTTCAAGCGGATCACCAATTTTTCACGAATGGACATTGCTTGAAATAAACAGATATTCCATATCCTTTAAATCCTCCAAACGTTGGACGCGCAGTACATTGTTTCAGCCGATGAACTCTCGTTGAACTTTCCGTTCGTGTTCACGCGCCATCGTCGCGTTTAACGAGCCGTTGACGAGTCGTATGAACACGTTTTCCCTTCGATGATCGTGCACACGCACGATCCTCCTCCGGATCTCGTGTTGGCGTGCGAGTTTGACGCGCCACTTTTAAAACGGATTGACGCGCGTCGGTTTCCCGCTAATGGGCCGGTTTGCATAAACGCGATAAGGCCAATTTGACGGATCGTTTCGCGTAACCTACGAGCTGGTGTTTAGCTCCTTTGTCCGTGGATATGACGCAACTAATCTGAATACGGAGAACGTTGGAAAAGTTAAGAATCCTTTCCTTTAAGGCAGAGGCTTTAAGCTGTGAAAAAATAAAAGAAGGAGTAGAAAAAGAACGGATGGATTAGAAATTGAAATTAAAAATGGGTTTAAAAAAGAAATTCGAAATTTTCTCCTCTTTCTCAACGAATATCGTCGTATTTTATTAAATCAACCTCTCCAAACTTATCTCTCGTTACAGGATAAAACGCGATCAAACGGATCATCCGTGCCGTGAAAGAGAAACTGAAAAGTTGCCAGCTCTCTCGAAAAGAAGAAGGAATAAAGTAAGAACAGGGGCGCGAACGGAGAAGAAAAGATCCATCGAGCCATGTGGCAGGCGCAAACGGTGTGAGTAATGGCGTCGACCAATCGCTTCCACCTCTTGAAACACGAACGCACACCTCCTCACAACATGTTTTCTTTTCCCTTTTCCTCCTCTCTCTCTCTCTCTCTCTCTCTCTCACTCTCTCTATAATTC